CCAAGGAAACAAAGCTGCCCCCTGCATTCCTCCTTCCCTCATGTCTCAGGCTGGCCAGGATCCTCCTGGTTGTCTGGAGTGATCGATCAAACATGGCTGCCGACAGTGTCTTCTGTCTCCATTTGCTCCACAGGGCATGGGCGGGCAGCACCATTATTTTGGGCTTTGGGTGGCTGCAGACTTTGGGAAAGGACACAGCAAAGCTAAGCCCACATGTACCACCTACAACAGCCCACAGCTGTCTGCCCAGGAGGACTTCCAATTTGATAAGATGGAGGTGTGGGGGCTCGGCGATGTCTTAGAGACATGTCTGGTAAGTTCTGCGTGGCAGTGACCTCATGTAGAACCGTGGCTGTTCTGCTTTTTCTTACTCTGTCTGCCTTTCCACCTGGGGAAGCTTATGTCTACCAGCGATGGGCCATGCCTGGATACATGCAGCAAAATAGAGTATGGGTTTGCCCTGGAAGCGGGGACCTGCCTAAGGTGTGCACCTGAGCCAGCTACATGGCCCTTTTCCTTCCCTACCCGTCTCCAAGAACACTTGGTTTCTGCATGGCCCTGGCAATTGCATCCCTGCCAGGGAGGTTTCAGGATACCCATGCTACTTGGCCTCTTCATGGCTCTATTCTGATGAGCTGACTGCTGGCGGGGGGGGGGGGGGGGGAGTGTCACTGTATATCCCAGATTGGGGCGGCTGTTATCACTCTGTATGCTTCTGTATACGCTCACTCCCCTTCTTCCCAAGGTCAAGAACAAGAAGAGCATCCTTGACTCGGATCCTGCAGCTCAGTCCCTGCTGGAGATCAGTGGACGGACTCGCCACAGTGAAGGACTGCGGGAAGTCCCCGAAGAAGATGACTGAGGCTCCTGAACCATGGGCTTCCTGGAGCAAGGGCGGGGACTCCCCCAGGGATACAGTGCACAGGGCATCCAGGTTCCTCACAGCCAGGGAGACAAAACCTGGCAGCCCCTCTGCCCTGACTCTGGCTTAGCTTTAACACCAGCCACATGGCCACAGCCATGCCAAAAGAAACCCCTCTGAAGCCATATTGATGGGTGTTGCCTCCCAGGATCCCTATGCATAAGTTAGAACGTTGGCCTTATACTTTTTCATTTCATATCAATGGAATCCAAGACAAAGAGGCTTGAAACCTGCCGGAACTGGTGATGGGTAGGGGCGTGTATTCTTGCCTCAGGAGGCGGCTGCATGCGTGGCCTTTGCTCTGGGTCTCAGTGGGCACCCTGATGACTCATCGCGAGTGGAAAGACAGAGGTGCTTAGATGAACGTCTTGGTACTTTGTAAGAACACCCTCAGCGCCACCATGGGACTTCTGGGTTTGTAGCGAAAGCTCTGAAGGTAATGTTTCTGGGGGCAGGACTCTCAGAGCAGGTTTGGGATGGGGTTCCCATCTAGTTTTCTGAACACTTTTTTTTTTAAATGAGTCAGATGAGCAAATGGGCGAACTTGACCTATCTGCCCAGAGACCAAGTCATTACTCTGCTGCTAACTAAAATTTGAGGGCATTTGGGGGAGCCAGAGTCTGGGTGCTTGCTTAATGGCTGCCCAAGATCCATCCCTTAAGTCAGTGGTGGGGGATGCCCAGCCTTGGCTTGGAGTGGCAGCTTCTAGGTGCCTTCTCTGGGGTCACAGCTCAAGGCTCCTCAGAAGGAGGGTGAGTGATGGGACAGACTCCAGCGATCCCGAAAGACTGACGAGGACTCAGGTGGTCAGGCTGCCCGTCACACTGTAAGTCATTGCCACCCAGTGTCACCCACTCAGAGGAGCCATGGGCCCTTCTCTGAGCCCTCTACCTCTTCCCTTTGCCGTGTGCTGCAAACCTCAACTTTACAGATCTCCTGTACAGTTTGCCTCAATTAAAAGCCATAGTAAATTCAGCATTTTTCCAGTTCTGCACTTTTTGCCCAGGAATCTCCTGGAATACTCCATGTAACCATCTTGAGCACAGAAGGTCTGAGGCATGTCCCTTCCAAACAGAAGGGCTTTTTCTGTCGGGGGGGGGGGGAGGTGTGTGGTGCAGACAAGGCCTGGGCCATTTTGGTTTTCTTGGTAAGAAGCCAGTTGCCAATGGTATGTGGGATAGAGAGAAAATACTGGAGTCTTCCTGCAACCCCATTGTAACCTCACAGAATTAGGTCACTGTGCTATGGAGTGTTTTTTTTTTTTTAAGATTTATTTATTTATTATGTATACAACGTTCTGCCTCCATGTATGCCCACATTCCAGAAGAGGGCCCCAGATCTCATTACAGATGGTTGTGAGCCACCATGTGAGTAAGGGAATTGAACTCAGGACCTCTGGAAGAGCAGCCAGTGCTCTTAACCACCGAGTCATCTCTCCAGCCCTGGAGTGTTTTTTTTTTTTTTTTTTTTTTTAATAAAAATATAGTCCTGTCTCTCGTTGGTGGCAGACTGTGGTGCCCATGACTTGGATGTGAACCATTGGGAGGTCATAACACCACGGCCCTCATGCTTTCTGATCTCTGTGCTGACAAGAGCTCAAACCACGGATGGGGATCCTGCTTCTCAAAACAGCACTGTAAAGACAGGAGGGCCTGACAGTCCTCTCGGGTGACATGTGACAGGCTCTGCTTCTCCACACACGCCTGTAACAAACCCCTTGGCACGAATGTGTGTGGGGTGTCAGCTGGGCTCCAAGGAACTTCTCAATGCTTCTGAATGAGGAGTGTGGTCTTTGGTGAAATTGGAGCAAACATTCAGCTGTGAGCGTCGGAGACCTCCTGGGAGCCCGATCCAAGCCCAGAAAGTGCTAGAAGGAAGAGGTAAGAAACACGGGCCAGCTGCAAGCATGGCTGTTGTTAGAATGTGTGCTTGAGTGAGGTGCTGGGAGGATGGAGACGGGAAAGGTCAGCTCTGAAAGGGATGCCCCGTTCTCCCTTGGGTTCCTCCAGAGGCCACCCACCCTCTGCACACTGGACACAGCTGTGTTTAGACATGGTATGTTTTCCAGTGTGTGTGGGGGTCACTCAGGGTTTCCCCATCTTCTTTTCCTGCTGTTTCGTCAGCTGTGTAGAGGCTCCACACTGTTTATCAGGCCAGCATCTTTACTGGAGGCTTCTTGTTGCCATAGCAACCATCATGCGTCTGGCATTGTGTCTCGAGGATGAACTGAGTGACTAGTTGGTTTAAAAGATGCCTTTGCTTCCTTTCATTCCTTTTGGTAATTCTGTGGCATGCAACCCAGGACTTTGAGCATGCTAGGCAAGTGTGCACTGCTGTGCTTGGATGCAGGGTCTCCTGTGTAGGCTAGACTAGCCTTGTGCCTCTTGAATGCTGTGACTACAGTTGTGCCCCACCATGTCTGGCTGAGTTATGACAGAACTCTGGACCTCATTTTACTCCTGTAACCTACTGAGTGCCTACTCATCAGTGAGTCACGGTGGATAGCTTCATTCGTTTGTTCTCTCTCTCTCTCTCTCTCTCTCTCTCTCTCTCTTTCTTCTTTTCTTTTCTTTCTCTCTTTTTTTGAGACAGGGTTTCCCTGTGTAACAGCCCTAGCTGTCCTGGAACTAGCTCTTGTAGACCAGGCTGGCCTCAAACTCACAGAGATCCGCCTGCCTCTGCCTCCTGAGTGCTGGGATTAAAGGCATGTGCCACCACTGCCCGACCTCTAATTAATTTTTTTATTGGTTTTAAAATCAATTATTTGAGTATGGAGGTCAGAGGACAATTTGAGGAGTTGGTCCTTGCCTCCCACGGTGACAATGAGGGTCTTTTATGTCTGCTGCCTTGCTGTCCCCTCCAGGCCAGCTGGCCGTGAGCTCCTGTCCCTGCTGCACATCCTGCTTTGGGTTGTTGGGGTCACAGATGCGCACTCCTGTAGCAGAGTTTTTAGGTGGGTTCCAGGGGTTGAACCGGGTTATCAGGCTTTCTCGGCTCCACTTTTCCCCTGAGCCATCTCCTGAGCTCCGATACCCCTTGTGTTATGCCTTTCTTCTACTTAAGCTATTTGCTTTAAATTTTTTATTTCTATATTATATGTAAATAGGCATTTTGTGTGCATGTATGTCTGCACACCAGAAGAGGGCATCGTATCACGGGACTATAGTGATAGACGGATGTGAGCTGCTACATAGGTGCTGGGACTTGACCTCAGGCCCTCTGGAAGACCAGCTCGTGCTCTTAACCACTGAACCATCCCTCTAGCCCCTTGAGCTATTTTCTAATGGACTGACATTCTGTGTGAATTGAGGCATCTTTCTCATGTTTTAATATTGGAGTTTTAGGGGTGGGTGATGGTGGCGCATGCCTCTAATCTTAGCACTCGGGAGGCAGAAGCAGGTGGATCTCAGTGAGTTTGAGACTAGCCTGGTTTACAGAGTGAGTTCCAGGACAGCCAAAGCTACACAGAGAAACCTTGTCTCAAAAATAAATAAAAAATACATAATATATACATACAGAATGAATAAATGAATTAAAAGATGAGTTTTGCAGGAGAAGGTCCAGCAAGAGTTCTTTCCCCTCCTGTATTTTGGAATGGTCTCATGCAAAGGCCAAAAGACCGGCTCCCAGCCCCTACCCAGGGTCCCTCAGAGAAATGCTTCTTAAGAATGGGGATTGGAAGGTTTCTATAAGAACTTTACACGGTGTCTGAGGGTCATTTTCTTTATTTTTTTCTTTAGTTCTGATTCTCTTGTCCTAGATGTCTACAATTTCTTAGCTCTAGCATTCTTTATTCTTCTGCATATTTATTCTTACTCCCTACATTCCACATTTTCTTCCAGTCTTTACTCTTCTGCTGTTAACACATTCCCAAGCATGTATGTGTATATCCATTCGTTAGCAACTCGTTATTAATTTAAAAAAAAACTACAAGGATACAGGCATGCTTATCACCTAGTTTGCAGCCAACCACAGCTGCAACTGTGAGGTGGGACCAGCCATCTCTTAAAGGGACAGCAACAAAGGTTACAAAAGGAAGAGGCTAAACCAATGAGAGATCAAAGGAAGAGGCAAAGACTATGTGTACTATTTTACATTTATGTGTGATTAATAATATCTGGACACGGTTAGTCAGCAGCCTTTCTTATCACTTGAATCTCAGGTCACAAAACCAGTCTACTGAATCTAAAATCTTGCATCAAAAACTGGTACAGAGTGTTAATTGTTATTTTGAATCAGAACAGGGATAGTGAAGGAAGTTTAGGGCAACATAGGTACTACTGATCTCTTGAAGGACTGTGATATAATACAAGGCCAGACCCCTGCAATACCGCCCTATTTCGCTGTAATTCCTCTTAGATCCTCACAAGGCTAGACACCTGTGACTTCATAAGTAAAAGGTTCTGCTTGTGACCTGTCCAGAAGGACACATGTCTGGCCAACTTGCTCTGTCAGTAAGGCTGATGGTAGAGACCAGGCTTCTACGTCTCTCACCATAATGTGGAGAACATAGTGTAGAGAGAAGTCATCTTCCTGACCATCCACAAGTATGTGTGCTCATAAGATTGAGATGTAATCATGAGATTACCTGTACACGTTACATGAAAATGCATGGCCCTGGGCAGATGTCATGGCTGTTTTAGCAAATGTGAGCAAGAGTTCCCAGAGTCGATGGTTCTGTGGGCTTTGCCCCGGCAGGATTCTGCTCCATCCGAGGACCATTTCTCTAGTGGGCTGACATCTGAACACTAGTTGTCACCTGCTGTAACTCTCATCGTCTCTGACAGCCTCATGTTTGCCCGCTTTCCTCTTCAGTGGTGACCACTTCTAAAATGTCAGATGGCTGGGGCTGAGCTCAGAGGTAGATTCAAGAGCCTGCTGTGTTCATTAAGCACTGGCGGAGAAAATATTCACTCAACTCTGTAAAGGACAAACGCTCACCTCACACATGCTCAGCACCTGCCCCTGACAGAAGACTCAACTATAGCGAGAGGCTGGCATGAAATGAGTGAACACAGGAGCTGATATGAGGATACCGTGTGGCGTGGACAGGTACGGGCACACATGCCTCTTTGTATGTGTGTAAGTGCACATGTGCATGTGTGAGATACACCTGTGTGCACATGCATGTATATGTCCAGGTGTGATATGTGTGTGATGTATGCCCTTGTGCAGGAGCACATGTGTGTGATGTATGCCTGTATGAAGGTGCACATGTGCCTGGGCTATATGTCTGTGTGCAGGTGCACATGTGTATGTATGTATGTAGTATATGCTTGTGTGGAGGTGCACATTGTGTGACATGAGCCTATGTGCAGGTGCACTTGTGCATGTGTGATGTCTGTTAGCATACTTGAACGCACATGTGTATGAGATTTGTCCCTGATGCTTGCTGAATCCCTTTGTATCATGACCTCTGCTATGAGTGTCTCAGAATCACCTGTCCAGCTTCTTCAGACAGAAGAGGCTTCACCTCTTGAGAGGGGAGAGGGTGGTGAGACCAGAGAGCCACACTGCCAGAGAGCGATGCCGCACGGCAGGTCCCAGCTCCCTCTGGCAGCCTCCATAATCCTTTTTGTTCCTCTGTAGGCTGTCTTGAGCGTGCAGGCATTGCTCTTCCAATGGCTTTATTGTACATTTGCCTTGATTCCTTCATAGTTTTTAGTGTGGGACTGAGCCCAGGACCTCATCCATGCCAGACAGACACTCTAGTGCCAAGCCCCGGCCCTTTTTCCTCAGAGGCAGAGGGGTCACGAGTCCCACTGAGTTGCCCAAGCTGGTCTTCAGCGGTAATCCTCTTGCCTCAGCCTCCCGAGTAGCTGGCATGTCAGACATGTGCCCAGCTCTGTGACTCCAGCACCTCCACCATGCCCTCCTCTCCCTCATGGAGCTCTGGTCTTTCTCCGTGAAGCAGGATTCCAGCATGTGCTTTGAGGTATCTGGTTTTGTTTTGTTTTTCCGGGGGACGGAACTTCACGTGTGTCAGTGTTTATGAGGAGTCCCTGTTAGGAGTGGATGTGGAATTCTGAAAAAACGTTAGGGTTTTATTTTGGCGTCCATGGGATGAGAGCTTTGTAAACACTAGGCAACCGTGTACTTCATCACGGCGAACATAGGGAGTTTTGGCTTTTTTAATGACTAGTGCCTTATCCCACTCAGTGGCACCGCCTTGGCTTTGTTTGTTTTAAATCAGATTTTACATAAATCATACTTGTGGAGTTTTTTGAATACTGGGGCTTGAACCCCAAATCATGAGGCATAGCTCTTTACAGAGCTGCCCCTAAGCCCTCATCTTAGATGAAGAAGCAAGGCCTCGAAGGGGATGGCTGTGGGCAGAGTGGCCATATTTCTGGTCACTGCGAAGCTCTGTGCCATCACGTGAAGTTGCATTGCTCAAGTGCAGAGACAGGTTAAATAAAAAAAAACACGGTGGTTTAATAAATAGTGCCCGGTCTTAGTAAGCTCCGTCCTGTCCTGTGCATCCCAGCAGGTCAGGAGGACATGTGGAGCCAGGGTCCTGGTGCTGTGTGGTCCTAAAATCCGCCTCTTGGAGTGGACAGGGCTGAAGAGTGGGGACAGATGCAGGTCACCCGGGGCTGTTGACACAGTGGTTCCTCTACACGGCCTCTGGGAGCATCTGGGTGGCCCTAGCTCCAGAGCAGAACTTCTCACACAGCTTCAGCAGCTCTGACAGAACGAAGACAGACGAGGCCAGGCCCACTAACAGCAGCAGGTCTGTGGGGAGAGAGGCTCAGATGGCAGCAGCCTGCCACATCCTTCCGTGTCTCCCTCCATGTTCTCTGCCCTTGACTTGTGGGGGCTGAGGGGGGGGGGCTGGCCACTTGACGAGGCCAGGGTCCTTCTGTGACACTGGATGCCCAAATAAGTCACCTTGGCTTTGGCAAGCTGACACTCTTCCCTACCATGGAAAAGGCTGCTTAGAAACTTGCTTGGGGGAGGCGGTTTCCTTGTCTTCCTGAGATAGGGTCTCAGGTAGTTCAGGTTAGCCTCAAACTTCCTACACAGCTAAGGGCGATTTTGTGCTCCTGGTCCTTCTGGCTGGCTGTACCTCTCCAGTGCCACTGTTGGGATTACGGGAATTGCCTAGGTTGTTTGGTGCTGGGGATGAACCCAGGGCTTTGTGTGTGCCAGCAAGTACTCTATTAACGGAGCTTCAGTCCCAGCCCAAGGGTCTTCTTTGTGTGCGGGTTTGCAGGAACATGCAGGCAGAGGTCAGGGGTTGATGCTGGGTGTCATTTTCTGCTCCCCACCTTTTTTTGAGACAGCTCTCTCCCTGAGCCTGGAGCCCCTGAAATCCTCCTCTCTGCCTCCCCAGCAATACTGGGGCATGCATTCTGAGGATCAGACTGGGGCCTTGTGCTGTCCTGTCTCCCTTTTCTTTGCTTGTTCCCCTGGGGCCCTTGCGGGGACCCTGCAGGGACGCCGATTTTAGATCACACGGAGGTGCCTATCCTGGCTTTATCCAGTCTCAAGTGATCCTTCTGCGTATCTTCATACCCAGGTGACCATTTTGGGTCTGTAGTGAGCTGTGCTGGAGCAATGCCTGCTCTGTCCTGGATCTGGGAGCTGACCCTCTGTCCTCCACCCCTGGGAAAGGTAGGGGACCTGCAACTGCTGCACTTGGGGTAGTTCCTTTGCAGGGCCTGTCCCTGTAGGAACAGGGACTATTTGGTTCCTGTCCCCACTTCTTTTTGGCTGTGGGAGCATCCTGTGCTCCAGAGCAGGGCATGTACACGGTGGCCTTTGGGCATCTCAGATGTCCCTTTCAGCAAGAACTGCCTGATGGCCAGCTCAGATGTGTGTGTCCTGAGGTTCAGGTGCTGCCACCCAGTCTTAGCCCCAGGCCCCACTTTCCGCAGAGGGGCCTCTTTCTGGGCTTCATTTGTGTTCCCTGTAGAGTCTGCACGTCACCTCCCTTCCTTGTGTGACACAGAGCAGATGCTGCCGACCAAACTGTCTTTCCAGAATGGCCTTGAAAGCTCCCACTCTGTGGCCCCACAGCTCCACCCCAGTGGGCAGGGTAACCACTTGTTCCTGATCCCATCACTCACCGAGAGCTCTCAGGTTTTCTGTCTGGAAGACCTTCTGCAGGGGTGGGGCATAGATCACAGCCAGCTGCCCGAGAAGGGACCCGAGGACCGAGAACAGGAACATGCGATTCCGGAAAAAGCCAATCTCAAATATCAGCTTGGTCTGTGGGGAGGGGAGGCATGAGCGGGTTTAGCACTTGTGCCCCTGGGACATGGTGTATTTTGTGTCCCCCCCCCCCAGTTGGCACCGAGACAGAATGGCAAGTGCTGAGGGGACATGAAGTCTGATCCCAGCACCCCTCTCCCCAAAACTTTGCCAAGAGTATGAGAGGCAAGCTGGGTAGTGGTGGCTCACGCCTTTTAATCCCAGCACTCAGGAGGCAGAGGCAGGCGGATCTCTGAGTTCGAGACCAGCCTGGTCTACAAGAGCTAGTTCCAGGACAGGAACCAGAAAGCTACGGAGAAACCCTGTCTCGAAAAATCAGTGTGAGGCAGTGTAACAGTGTCCCTGTCCACAGCTCCCCCCCCCCCATATTGTGGGTCTACGGGGGTGGGGCGTGGGACTTGGGGCGGGGTCAGCCCTGCTCACCTGAGAGCGGCAACTTAGGGCATTGAAGAGGTCAAAAAACACGAAGCAGGTGAAGGCCATGGTGGTGGTGCGCGGGGTGCTGGTCCCGTTCTCTGGGATCTGGAATCACAAATGGGTGTGCTCAGGGCAGAGAGGGAAAGCTCCCTACCTTGGAGCTGAGGGGTACAGTTGTGTGCCAGGGGTACAGGTGTGGCCTGTGGATGCTGCCTGAGGTTTGCTCATCAGCCCAGTCCCAAAGTTGGACCTGAAGCTGATTCTGTGCCGTGTGTCTGCGCTGTCCCCAGGGCACTCCCACCCCTGTCTTCTATTAGGAGTGTCGGCTGCCAGCACAGCCAGAAGGTAGCAGAGAAGGGAAAGACATCCCCAGGGCAACAGTGCTCAAGCTGTGGGTTGAGACCCCTCTGGGGTAAATGACCCTTTCACAGGGGTCACCTAAGACCATCGGAAAACACATTTATATTAGGATTCGTGAAAGTAGCAAAATTACAGTTATGAAGTAGCAACGAAAACAATTGTGGTTGGGGACCACACCGTGAGGAACTTAATTAAAGGATCACAGCATCAGGAAGACTGTCCTGGGGGTAACACCCTAGTGGGTCATGCCACTACACAAACCCACAGATCAGAGCCCATGTTCTGTGAGGAGTGTGGGACGGCTGGTCCCAAAGACAGTGTGTTTGGTAAGAATGTCTGTTGAGGCCTCAGCCATGTCAGCCAGGTCTGGCTGGAGCCCCAGTGAGATGGATTTGTGGGTGCAAGTGTCAGACACTTTTTGCCTCAACTTCTCCCTCCCCACTTGGTGAAACTTCATCAGGCTGGAACACACCTCCACCTGACGGCCAGGCAGGTTTCCAGAACCAAACTCTCATCTGGATGCTCTGGAGGCCATGTCTAAACACAGTGGGGATCCCCCCCCCCATTCCTCATCTGGGCCACAGATATAACCACATAGGTATATAACCATATACAACCATGTCCGAGGCTCCCTGGCCCAATGTGCTGAGATAGTCTCAGAGCATAAGGGGATCCTGTAGTTTCCTTTGACAGTAGAAATGCCTGCCCCCAATCAAGACTCCTGCTGTCTATGCTCTGGCCCCAATTCTCGTCCCACAAATTTCTCCGTACCTCTCTCTACCATACTCTCTGGCCTCGGATAGCACCAGGCTCTTCCCCCTCTCTGCCTCTCTCCCTCCCTCTCTCTATGTGTGTGTCTGTCGGTTTCCCTTGGAGAGAGCACCCAGCCCTGCACAGAGCTCCCAGCCGATCCCAAGCAAGCCAATGCCTGCCTTGCTCACCTCTCTCCAGAAAATAAAGAGGGTCCCTCCTATGATGACAGCAGCTGACATGAGGACCTTCAGGATCAAGGCTCTGTTCAGGATGCTGTCCCCCATGCTCCTTGGAGGCCTCCGCAGGGCATCTCTGTCCACAGGCTCCACCCCCAGGCTGTGCAGGACAAGGCAAGTGATGTTTTAAAATAGCAAAGGTCACTGGAAGCCGGGCTAGGGGGCACACACCTGCAATCCCAGCTTTCTGGAGGCTGAGGCAGGAGACTCAGAGTTCAAGGCCAGCCTGGGTTATATAGTGCGCCCTAAACCCTCCTGAATCAAAGAGGGAGAAAGGGGGAGAGCCTGCCTCAAATCAGAAAGGGACACCTGAGACCCGTGCCTCAGCCTTGACGATTGTCGCCTGTGAGCAGGGCTGTTCTTGTCCCCCAGGTGACTATGCTACTGTTAGCCATAGCTCTCTACCCTCTGTCTCCAAGGATCTAGAAGCCAGCGCGCCTAGCAGGAGCCAACACTGGGCTTTGGCCCTCCCCATGTCATGGCCTTCTAATCTCCATGTAGTTCCCTCTACCATGAGGGGTCCTAAGTGGGGCCTGGAGAAACAGGACCCAGCTCTGCCCCCCAGGGTCTACTGTGTCAGATGCCCATTTATCATTCAGGAACATCAGGAGGCCCAGTTGCACATGGAGACCTGGGAGCTACCTCACCTGCTCTCTCTCTCTCACACACACAGCGAGGCTTGTGGAAGCAGCAGCCCTCGCTAGGCTCTGGGCTTTCCTCTCTGCATACCACAGCCGATGATTATAGCAATGCTAACAGGAACATTAGCCGCGTTTGGAATGATACCTCCCTGTGCAAGCAGCCAAGGTTGCTGGGCACACAGGTCTCCTATGCCACCGATGTGTTCATGAGCATCTATAACATGCAAACACCAACCTAAGGGTCAAGGGGCATCAAGTCTATAATAACCAACCACAGTGAGGATGGATCTAATCAATCAAAACAAGGATACTTTCCCCTTTAGGGACAAGCATGGGCAGATGCCCAAGGATGAGGCCGCCATTGTTAGAGTGATCAGGGAGGTCTTCTTGGAGGTGGTGACCTGACTATAGAATGGGATGGAGCCATGGGCTCCAGGAGTTCACTGTAACTCAGGGAGCACAAAGCTCCATCTCTGCCCATCAGGAAGCTGCTCACAGCAGCCTGGAGATTCCTTTCCCAGAGGAAGCTCACATGGTCCTGCCTTCAGCCTTACCTCTGTGCTGGCGGTCCATCCATGATGATGTTCACCCACAGGATCTGCATGGCGTTGAGGGGGCTGGGCAGGTTGCACACGGTGGACAGGGTGATGAGGCTCAGGGCTGCAATGCTCCTGCAGGGCAAAGGCAACAGGCAGCCCCTCAGTGCGTGCCCCGGATGTGGCACCTGCTGACTACCAAGGACCTGCTGCCTCTGCTTACGTGCTCAGCTGGAAGCGGACGAAGTTCTTGATGTTGTAGAAGATGCCTTTGCCTTCCTCCACCGCGCTCCTGAAAGGGAGGCAAGCGTGTGGGTGCCCAGGAAAGTCCTGGTGGGGGTAGGAGTGGCCAGCCTGTGTGCAACAGTGTCGGGAACCCTTGCTGGCACACCTGGGACACACTGATGGGGGTGGTGGCAGCCTCTTTTGTACAAATCCTGTGTGTGACCCCTTTCAGCTGGAGCCCGGGGCCCTGCCTGTGCTCAGAATGCTGAGTGTACAATCTACCTGCGGTTCAGCACACAGAGTGGAAGACACCCAAGCTCCACACGCTGGGGGCAGAGCAAGAAAGGGTATGAGAGGTACAGAGACATCACCGTCCATCTGTCCTGTGTGTGTGTACCCGTGTAGTTTATGTGTCGGAACATGCGTGTGGAGGCTGTAAGGACACGCTGGATGTCCGGCTGCCTCTCTGTCTTCCTCCTTTGAGTCAGTATTTCAGAGTCTGGGGCAAAGCCCCCGGGATCCTCCTGTCTCTGCCCCTCACAGTGCCAGGGTTACAGGCATGCTCCTAGGGCTGTGTCCGTGGGACAGACACACACGCACACACTGAATCATTCATGGAAGAGTCTTTAGTGGCAGAGAAATGTTGCTAAACCAGTGCCTCTACTATTAAAAACACGCTTCCAAATGTTCTTCTGTACGCTAAGTACCGTGATTTACTTAAGATTAGTCTTAAGTATAACTTAAGATTAAATCCAGAGAAAGGCAATTTTAATCCTCCTGTCTGGGCCTCCAACTGGGACTTTCATTTGTGCAGGTGTGCACACATGTGGGGACCAGAGGACAGCCTGGTGTCATCCCCAGGAAGGCTGTCCTTCTCCTTTGACACAAGATCTCTCACTGGCCTGGAGCTCACCCATCGGGTGAGGTTGGCTAGCTAGCAAGCCCTGGGTCGGCCTGTCTCCTCCACAGCTGTAGGATCAACAGCCTGTACTGCCCTGCCTGCGTTTTCACGTGAACTCAGGGTGTCAAACTCGACTCCTCATGCTTGCAGGCCAAGCACTTTGCCGACCGAGCCATCCCTCCAGCCCCCAAACATGATTTTTAACAGCTGTCTCTTGTGACTAGCTGGTCAAGTGACTGTAGGCTTTCTTAATATCACAGTAATGAATGACAGGATGACCTTGTTTTGAGAAGGTCCATACATTTAGAGTGGGCTTATCATTACAGGGATAACCTTGGGATTCAGCTCTCTTCAGGGAGTTCCCTGAACCTCAAGAAAGCCCCACCATGCCGGGTGATGGTGGCGCACGCCTTTAATCCCAGCACTCGGGAGGCAGAGGCAGGCGGATCTCTGTGAGTTCAAGACCAAACTGATCTACGGAGCTAGCTCCAGGACAGGTTCCAAAGCCACAGAGAAACCCTGTCTCAAAAAACCAAGAAAAAAAAAAAGCCCCGCCATATCCACTACAGTACATCCTGGGGATGCCGATGATAGCAACTCACATAATGGTTGAGAAGTCGTCGTCCACCAGAATCATGTTGGCGGCCTCTTTGCTGACGTCCGTCCCCGTCTGGCCCATGGCGATCCCGATGTCCGCGGACTTGAGGGCAACGGAATCATTCACGCCGTCCCCCGTCATGGCCACAATCGCCCCTGACTCCTGCAGTGCCTTTGGGAAGAGCAGGTGATGGAGGATGGAGCCCGAGAACTCTCAGACTTTCATGATGCCCTGCCTGGTGTACCACGGGGCCCCATCCCCTGGACTCTGGGGTCAACTGGCCTAGAGCCACAGTAGGTCTGCCGCAGTGGCCCTGAGGGTGGGCATGGCCCTGAATCTACAAAGCAAGTGGCAGCCACCATCCTGGCCTCACAGGCTGCTGTGACACCCTGGCTAGGATAGCAGATGTGAGTTATAAAAGTTGCATATTTCTGGGCTGGCAAGATGTCCCAACAGGTAAAGGAGCTTGCCACCAATCCTGATGACCTGACTCATATAGTCATATGGTTAATAGAGAACTGGTCCCCACAAGGTGTCACCTGACCTCCATACATGCACTGTGGCCTGTTGCACCCATATTCATATATACAAAATTTGTTCATTTTTTTTGGAACAGTTTTTGTGTAGCCCAGGCTTATCCTGGAACTCATGATCCCCCTGCCTCAGCCTCATGAGTACTGGAATGACAGTTGTGAGCCACCATATGGGGTTGGCATTTATTCTTCATCACTAAGAACTAAACACCTCTGAACCTCCTCAAATAGCTCTCAAAGAACAAAACACAGCTACCAAAGAGCTCAGCAAACTGCCAGGTACAGATGTGGGGAAAGCTCTGGAACTCACTGGTTTCTGGTTGCCAAAAAGGAGCCACGGGAATATTTTCTCTACGTTATCTAATTCCTAGGACTGTTCCCAGTGTCTGTGGACAGTGGTCCCCAACTTCCCCACCACCCCATAAGAGGACCCACCCCTGTTTCTACTTTGAAGTGCCTAGCAGCCTGCCCCCCTTGGACCATCCCGGTCACTTGGCCAGCTGAGAGCCTGCCACCCTGAATGGCCCCACCCTGAAAGGCCCCTGTCATATGCCCCGTTACCTTTATGATTTTAACCTTGTGCTTCGGGCTGGTCCTGAAGAATATAGACACCTGGTACAGGGAGTCAGAGTCATCCGGGACATAGGAGCTGGAGGACCTCTCCATTCTGTCCCGTCCACCCCCCGGAAGAACCCACCTGCCTCACTTGGGCAGCCAGTGCGTCCTGCTCCATGCCCTCCACCTCCTCCCCAGACATGGCTCTCAGCTTCTCGTTGCATAGGCCGATGTTTCTTCCTTTGGGGGAGGAGTTAGGGCTGAGGAACACCCCAGGACCTCCATTTTGGTTCTGTCCCACCCAGCATGTGACAAACCTGACTTTAGCCCATATCCAGTCAGTGTCTGGTAACCATGGTGAACCTGTATTTGTCCATGATAACAAAACTACGCAAAAATGGGCTTCCCTGAGGCCACAATGCTGGGGAGTATCCCTGGCACCTCTGGGACTCTGGCTGTGACTTCCCAGCACTGGGCTGACTTGGGCAAAGCCAACAAGACAACTCTTGACGGGAATGATTAGAGGAGGCAGAGGTGGCTTGCCGGTCCACCGCTGATGAACAGACATGTGTGCCTCCATGCCTTGTCAAAGGTACCCAGCCAACGGAGGAAGCCAGACTGGACCTACAGGGTGTGGGATGCCACCTGTTCGATGAGATTCCACTTGAAAAGCTCTGAAACGCACAGTAGGCCCTTAGTTTACATGCGGACATTCCCCCATTTTGGACACAAGCTGAAGCTCAGAGCCCTCTCAGTTGGGCATGAGGCCCCTCCACTCCTGGCCCCTCACCCCAGTTACCTATGGCCCAGGCTGTCTCGAGGGCATCTCCTGTCACCATCTTCACTGACACACCAGACTCGGAGAGGACCTGGACCGCTTCCTTCACACCAGCCCTCAGCGGGTCGATGATGCCCACAAGACCCAGGAACGTTAGTCTCCCCAGCTCGGGCCCAGATGCCAGGGCCAGCACTGTAGGAGACACAAGGACAGGTTTCTGGGGACTGGTGACCACCTTTGGTCCTAGCAAGCCCTGCTGTGACCCTCTGGGGAGCATAGGTGCACTGGATAGGGAGGGAGGGGTGTGGGATACAGGCTGATGGTCCAGCGGAAGCCCCGGGGAGATGGCAGACAGGCATCTGGGACAGCCTCACCTGCCAAGGACTCAGTGCATGCTGTCTCCAGAGTCAGGAGGTTGAGGTCATGAATAGGAGAAACCTGGCTCTTCTCCCAGCCCTGCCCCCATGGAATACAAGTATTCCAGAGTGTTCTGAGATGTTTTCTCCAACAAGCGACGGGGTGACAAATGGCACAAGAGTTTTAACATCAGCCTGATGGGGAAGACCCTGACTCTGCCCCAGAGAAAGCTGTAGATGCCCAAAATGGACCGTCTCCCATCATCTGAGAGCTCTGGGTTTTCGTGGCGGAAGGTACGGGATGAAATCGTGCCTGAAATCAGTGCGCACAGCACAAACTTCACATGCCCTAGAGAATCTGGCAAGCAGTACCTCCTCCATACACAAGCCACCCCTAGATTAGCGGGTGTCATGGGTGGCTAGGGGGGACTAGGCACTTCAACTGTGAAGTTTCACGTTGGGAGTTGCTTGTTGGTCCACTCCTGCCTGCTTTTTGGCCGGTGGCAGAATTCACCCAGGACCCTGTTCCCATGCATCCCAGCGACACTACAGGCCAACACAAGGCCCCAGTGGACAAGGGAGGAGGCCATGGTACCAACCCCGCAGGCCAAGCGAGCCCATCTTCTTCTCTTCCTGCAGCCAGCAGGACTTCTGTTGGGGCGTCAGAGGCAGGGGGATGCCCCCATTGTTGTACATGCTGCAGTGACGGATCACTTCCTCAAAGGCCCCCTTCATGAAGAAAATGTCTTCCCGGTCCTTGGAAAAGAAAAGGAAAACAAAACCCTCTGCCATTGGGTGCTTCCTGCCGCATGGACAACTGCCTCACACGGGAGCCCATACCAGAATCTCTGCAACACACAGTCCACGCCTGGACTTTCCAACACAGGTTAATAGAAGCCTGAGACTCCACATTGCTAATCCCCAGGGACGCAGGTGCGGCTGGGTCAGGGCCCCCACTATGAGCACCAGGGGTCAGAATGCCAGGTTCATGGCTGTCACCTCACTGGAAGCTCTCAGAGGGTGCTGGGCATGCCATCCTCTCCCCCCAGGCATTGTGCCTTACTTTGGTAAGGGAGGGATGTGTGCTCCGCCATCCCAGCTCTCAATGCTGAGGCAGGAGCCTTCCAGGACAGCCTGGCACCACGGTGATTCTGTCTTAACAACAGCCAAGCTCACCTCATTCTTCGGGCTGCACCGCACGGCCATCCACTTCTGCTCTGAGCTGAAGGGAATCTCCTTTCTCCGTGTGTAGGAATCTTTGACGTCACCTAAGTTCATCTAGGGTATAAGAGGTGATGTTTTCAGGGAGTCACCCCAAGCCAGGCTGTATGCCCCTGGTTTCCAGCCTTCCTAATGCTGCAACCTTTCACACAGTTTCTCCTATTGTGGTACTCCCTCCATCATAAACTTACTTTCGTTGCTAATTCATAACTGTGATTTTGCTACTGTTATTAATTGGAAATATGTGTTTTTCAATAGTCTCAGGTAACTCCTGTGAAAAGGTCATTTGTGCCCCCCACCCCTGAAGGGTTGTGACCCACAGGTTGAGAACCACTGCAGTAAGTTAAACTCTGTATAAACCAACATCCAAACTACAGAGCCCCAAGCAGTAGCTAATGGAAGGCTGTCTGTTTTCAAATGTCTCACCCAGGAGCCTTTCTTTTCTCTTGACCCAGAACCAAGTCTTTGCCTCATTGCCTTTGGAAACTCCTGAGGAATGAGGACATTTGGGGAGTTGCAGCCTGGGGCCCGCAGGACCAGCACCTGTGTGGTCTTTGATGACTTCGGGACCTATTGCTCACTAAACTAAAACTCAGGACAAACTCAGTTTTCCAAAAGCAAACCAATGTTAGCCAGGCATCTCATGCCTGAGAGACAGTTGCATGAGAAACAGTGTTTGGGAGAGGAAGGAATCCCAGAACTCTGGTGGAAGTGGGACCGGCTCAGGGAAGGAGGGGCTCTGAGAACCCTGCTCCCCCACTGAGACAGGGTCTTGCTTGGTAACCCTGCCTGGCCTGGGATTTGCTATGTAGATCAGGCTGGCCTTGTACTTACAGAGATCTGCCTAGCTCTGCTTTCCCAGTGCTGGGATTAAAGGCGTGTGCCACCATGTCTGGAAAAAGTCCCTACCCCTAATCCCCCTCAAAGCACAGCTATGCCAGCAGCCCCCCCGCAGTGGCCAACGGTGGCTGTGCTGTGCAAGGCTGTCCTCTGAGAAGGGCAGCCATCAGCATCCATCTGAGAAGCTGTGACTCATCCCAGGAGACCCTCAGAAGGAGGGGTAGAGAGGGCATCAGACCCTCACCTCCTCAACCCTTCCTCGGCTGCAGCAGCAGCCGACATGCTAGAGTATGCAGAAGGCAGAAGTTCCCCTGCAAGGGGCACACCAGATCAGGGCTGGGCTCCTTAGGGATGTGGCTGTTTGGGGTCACCATACATACTATTTTGAGCAAACCCAAAAAAGTCATCCACCCGTCAAGCTGGGCTTGGGTGGAATTGATGCTTTTGGGGGTGTCCTATCTGGGTGAGTAGATATTTGTTTGTGTCACCCCAGGGAAGATGACAAAACATGGGGATGTAATGGCCAGCAGGGTGTGGTGGCACGTGCCTGTGATCACAGCTTCTCAGAGGCTGAGATAGGATTGCAGGATTGTGAGTTCAAGGCTGATCTGGGCCTCACAGCAATGGAATTTCTCAAAGTGAAAAGAGCTGGAGTTTGGCTCAGGCAGCCCCGGTGCCCTGGATTCCATTCTCACTCCTAAAAGCTAATAAAATTGTGAGAGTGGTGTGAAAGAGGGGTGGGCAGATCACAAAGATCATGTCTAGGGCTGGGGAGATGGCTCAGCAGGTAAGAGGGCTTGATGCGCAAACATGAGGACCTGAGTTCAAATCCCCAGAACTGTGTGGACTAGTCAAGGTTCTCTAAAGGAACAGAACTGATAGAATCAAGATAATTACATGGAAAAAAGAAAGGACAGAAAACACGAATATCTGTTTAATATGTGACAGAACATTCAATTATAATCCTTGTTTTATATATTTATTATAGTGTTATTATTTATATTATTTAATTATATTCAGATTATTAAATTAGAATTAATATTTATAGATATGTTAAATTATAGTTATTTATAATTATATGTTATTTACTATAATTACAGAGTTATTATATATTGCTGATTTATTATAATCTGTAATTGGTCACATGGCCTTAACTGGTATTTGTTTTTTTTTTAAAGATTTATTTATTTATTTATTTATTTATTTATTATGTATAGAGTATTCTGCCTACATATATCCTATAGGCCAGTAGAGGGCACCAGATCTCATTACAGAAGGTTGTGAGTCACCATGTGGTTGCTGGGAATTGAACTCAGGACCTCTGGGAGAGCAGTCAGTGTTCTTAACCTCTGAGCCATCTCTCCAGCCCCTTAACTGGCATTTGTAACTATTTTCCTCTACTCCCCATTCTGTATTTCCTTTACCCTCAGCAAGCACCTCAACAGGTCTTTCCCTGGAGGAGTTACCCACACCTTTATTCCTGATGGGGCCGTACCCTCTGTTATCCTGCCTGAATTACATTGTAGTTTCCCATCGACCTTAATCACAAGACATGGTGGCACCAAGAGATGCCCTATAGGATCCCCTGCACGCCAGACGTAATCGTTCTCACCTCCATTGTGGAGAAGCAATCCAATTTCCTCCTGGTAATCAGGATCCTATTACCACTGCTGCTCCTTTCTTAGCCTGTCTGCTTCAGGGCACCAGAAACCTAAAGTGGCCCTGGGGAAGTCTGAGCTTACAGTTCTATGGAATGTTTGCTGTGTCTCCTGGCAGGAAGATTCCTCCCTTTGGAACCAAAACTTCCAGGCCAGCAAGTGGTTATGTGTGCCTGTTGGAGGACCTGGTGGGTAACAGGAAGACGGTTGGGGCCTGCTGGCTGCCAGCCTGGCTTAGGTTCAGCGAGAGACCCCTGTCTCAAGGGAACAAGTGGAGACACACAGAGAAGGACACGGATGTCCTCTTCTGACCCTATTGCAGACTGCAGACCATCAGACTCTGAATTTTCTATGACCCTTTGCCTGCTGGAGTAAACAGCTGCTTTTCCTGTGCTTGCAGCTGCTCTGAGCACGAGACCCTGATGGCAGGGGAGTGGTTTCTGATGGCTTGCAGCTGAAGGATCTTGAGAGCTAGGGCATGGCCATTAGTCAGGGAAGGCACTATATAAGCTGCCATCAATATAATGCCAACAATAAAGTTGGCATTCTTCTTTCAAGGATGACCAGTCTCTCTCTCTCTCTCTCTCTCTCTCTCTCTCTCTCTCTCTCTCTCTCTCTCTCTCTCTCTCTCTCTCTCTTGTGTGTGTGTGTGTGTGTGTGTGTGTGTGCTTGAATCTCCAGGCCCTTGCTACAGGCGTAGTACCGTAGTACACGTAGTACAGGAGCTACAGGACCGTAGTACATGTAGTAGTACGGACACTACATGGCCCCTTACCTTCATGGCCAGAACCATCAAGGCCCCTTCTGTGGGCTGGCCCATCACAGTGTTCTTCCTGATGACAGCGTTGTTGGCGATGCAGCCTGCCTGAAGCGGGGTTGGAGTATCTGCAGTCAGTACAAGGAACCAGCCCCTGGGCCTTGGGCTCACCCATGCTATGAAAGGTTGGGCACTGCAGGCGTGGCCTTAGAGCTGGGCCAGATAACAAGTTTCCTTCTAATAAATGGGTGTCTTAGAAACACACAAATGTGTCACCCCTACCCCCACCCCATCTTCAGGCATTGAACCAGGCCTCTCACATGCTAGGCAAGCCCTCTACCACTGAACTGCATACCCCAGGCTTGTTTTTCATTTTGAGATAGGGCTTGCTAAGTTGCCCAGGCTGGCCTTGAACTTGTACCCCTGCCTTGGTCTCCTGAGTAGCCGGGATGCCAGGCCTGTCCCACTAGGCTGGGAAATGGCTTAGGAGGAGTGCTGGTTCCAGAAGCGGTCAGGGGAGCACGAGGTGCAGGTGGACCAGGGTCTGTGGTGGGGTAGTGGGGTGGTGGTGACAGCTAGTGGGTTTCCACTCAGGTGACACTGTGCTCTGGGGCTGGAGAGTGGGCACTGGCTGCATGGGAGGACAGGCAGGCATCAGTCAAGCCACAGGCTTTAGGGAAGTGTTCTGCAGTACACGGCTGGTTTGGAGAAACATCTAGGAGCCTGACAGAGCGTGGGTGACTGCTGCTTCCCTGCCACCCTGGAGCTGATTTCAACCATCCAGGGGCTTCTCTGAGTTTGTTTCTGAGGGGGCTGAGGGGAGGGAAGGCAGTAGAGCGCCCCCCCCCCCCACGGAGGAGGGTACTGTTCGGGAGGAGGCCCTGACTTCCGGGAGGCCGCTGGCCATGCAGGAAGGGCAGATGGCATATGAGGAGGAGACCACACCTGACAACGCCAACAGTGACTAGGAAGATCCGCACCCACCAGCCCAGCCAGGCTCTGCCTTCCCTTCGCCCTCCTCCTTCCCGTCCTGCCGGGGTGATGTCCGCAGCTGCGACAGCCCTAACTGCTGAAGCTGGTCAGTCACCTCCATCCCAGGCAGGCCGCACACCGTCCCACCATGGCTACCCAACACTCACCTCCACCAGCTTCCCCACCGAAACGTTGCTGAATCCCTGGATCACTTCCTTGGATGGAAGAAGACACACGGCCCCTTCGCCACTGTACCCGACTCCACTGACCTGGAAGGATACGGCAGACTGAGGGTGTTATCGAGACCTGACCCATAAACCCTGGGGGGGAGTACCTGCTCCCTCTCCTACAGTCCCATCCATTAGCATATACGTTAGGATGACCCCGCAGACTGTCTGCCACCCAGGACCTCTCCCTGACAGTAGAGGCTGCGTGCATTACGACCAGCTGCTGCCAGCATTCTCAGTGGAGGCCTTGCTGCACAAGCTGAGGAGCAAAGGGAGACAGCTTGGGAGAAGCCACACCTAAGCCAAGAGGAAATATCTGGCCTCTGCAGCTCATAAACCTGTCAATCAAGATAATGCTGAAAAGCAACCAGCCATGGAATGTTCATAAACCGGCATGACAATGTGCCAAGAAAATGGCATTGAGGGGCCAGGGAGCTGGCTCTGTGGTTGATAGGTCTTGTTCAGTTCCCGGCACCACCACTAGATGGCTCCAAACTGCTTGTAGTACCAGCTTCAGGGGCTCCAACGCCCTCTACTGGCCTCCACGGGAACTGTACCTATGTGCCTACCATACCAGCACACAGGCATATAGCCATACACATAAACAAATATCTCAAAAAAATCTTTAAAAAGTAAAGAAACGTTATTGAGGGCTGGAGAGATGGCTCAGAGGTTAAGAGCATTGCCTGCTTTTCCCAAGGTCCTGAGTTCAATTCCCAGCAACCACATGGTGGCTCACAACCATCTGTAATGAGACCTGGTGCCCTCTTCTGGCCTGCAGGCATACACGCAGACAGAATATTGTATACATAATAAATAAATAAATTAAAAAAAAGACACGTTATTGACAAGAGAAGGCCATCACCTGTGGGCTCCTATTTCCTTACCCTTTGCTCTGGAAAGGTCTGTGGAAAAACACCCAGACTCAAAATTGCTGGTTAAGGAAGCGTGCCATTGTGCCTTGTGAGAGACAGAGAGGCACAGACAGTGACTCAGGGTCAGTTTGTCATGGGTGGTGACAGGTACTTCTGTAGCTTTTAAATTTTTTTTAACGAGCTGGACATGGTGACTCATGCCTGAAAATCCCAGCATATGGGAAGCTGAGACAAGAAGACTGACCGCCATCTCCAGGACAACCTGGACTACATAATGAGTTCCAGTCCAGCCCAGGCTACAGAGTGAGGCTGTTTCAAAAACCCAAATGCAGCAGGGCCTAGTGGCCCAAGCCTGCAATCCTAGCTTAGTGGAGAGGCCGAGGCAGGCAGTTCTCAAGTTCAAAGTCAGCCTGGATACGGAGTGAGACCTTGTCTTCAGATGAGAGTGAAGAGTGAGCTGGGAAGAGTGAGCTCAGTGGTAGAGGGTTTACCCAGCATGCCAGGCAATCCCCAGAACCACAAAAGCGGGGTGAGCTGTTAATGAGGGGCTGGGAGTGTGGTTCAGTAGTATAGTGCCTGTCTAGTGTGAAGGAGACCCTTGGTTACATCCTGCAAAACCCTAAAATATAAATATGATAATTAAGAATCAAAGAGGACATCTCAAATTAAAGGTCACAATCCTTTCTCAGACAGACCTCCAAAGTGTTAATTTCTTCCTTGCTGTTCTAAGAGAATGTGTGATCTCCCTGGGGAGGAGAAGGACTATCAGGGTACACCTTGCTCTCCTGCCCTGTGAGATAGCACGAGGCTCACCTCAGCATGGAACCCATCGGAAGTGACGAGCTGGGTGGCTGTCATCTCGTTGGCTGTCAGAGTGCCTGTCTTGTCAGAGCAGATAACATTGCAGCAGCCTGGCACCATGGGAATAGGTTTATAGAGATGAGTTATCACCCCCAAGCCTGGGGCTCATGCAACACTCTTGAGTGAGCAATCCCAACCCCACACCTCCCCCTGACTCAGATTGCACTGGAGTGGGGAAGCCTCACCGAGAGTCTCCACGATGGGCAGCTTCTTCACAATGACCCGCTTCTTGGCCATCCGCAGCACCCCCAGGACCAGCGTCACCATGACAACGATGGGCAGCCCCTCTGGGATGGCCGCCACAGCCAAGCTGAGTAGAAAAGTCGAACCAGAGTTAGTACATCCAAGGGTGATGTCCATCTCAACCGACACCGGTGACGATGCTTTCTTCTTAGTGAGTCTTGTCTTTGCCCCCGGCGGACAGTCTATTTAATTCTAATTCCACGATGCACTTGCCCCCATCACTCTTTCTGTCCCACCACCTCCCTGGTAAGCTACCTCCCCAGCCCGGACCTCTCCAGTCGGCCAGGCAGTCACATCTTAGTGCAAACTGGTGTCCGTTAAGTCCCTTTACATGACATTCTCATTTCTTAGGGACAGAGTTTCTGGGGAAGTGCTTGGCAATTTCAGAGAGTCACTCTCGGAACTAGAAGAAGGGGAAACTGTGGTTGATGTAATATAGGAGAGGGGAAAAAAAAGGAAGGGAAGAAAAGGAAGCAGCAGGTTTTGGCATGCAGACTCATCCCCAGGTCCTTGAAATTTTAGCTGTCACCTTCTAATGGTTTAGCTTTTAGTCCTGTGGGTACCAAAGAAGCCAAAGCAGTGCAACCCCCTCCCCTCCCCTTTGTGATAGAGTACATCTGATATCTGCTCATTTCATCACCACCCCCTCCAGTGCTGCGATCTTGGGAGAGACCGGCCACACCCACTATCTCAGCCCTCTCATTTGGCCCTGGAGTGAAGGTGGGGGATGTGAGACCTGTAAACACAGTAAACTCTCCAGTATTTTCACTTAGAGGGAACCACCCACAGTAACTTCTAGAAAGGGACTACTTGGGGTGTGGAAGTGACAGGGCAAGCTCTGCCACCTGAGAAGCCACACAGGAGAGGGACAATCCAAGCCATGCTGAGCAGGTGATCGCCAGGTCGGGTCGGCCCAAAGCAAGCTGTTATCCAGAGGGTGGGGCAAGAGTATTGCAGACCAGCTATCCTTCCCAAGAAACTGAAGGCCAGCTACCATTTTAATAGAGTGACTGTATTTGTCTTTTACAAGACAGGGTCTCATGTAGCTGACCTTGAACTCACTTCCTCCACCTCATAAGTATTGGGGTGAGAGGTGCGCACAGCCACACTGGCTTCTGTGGCGCTGGAGTGGAACCCAGGGCAGCCTGCATGCTAGGCAAGTGCTTGACCATGAGTTGCGGGTCCAGCCTCACGAGGACTGAATTTTAAAGCATTGGTAACAAAAAAATTAAATATAACAGAGTTCAGATTAAAAGCCCTTTCTGGCTACATTGATGCAGGGGCAGCTTTTTGCCTTCTGTCCTCCCTCAGGCTGAGGTGCTAAAGGGGCAGACGTGAACTCATCACGAGGACCTGACTCTTGCGGGTGCAGAGGGAACGCTCAGCTCAGGCTAGTGAGAAGTCAGAAAACTTGGTGGGGGCTCACAGGGCGCTCTCATCACCCAGGGGACCTCGCTGCATTAAATGGTGAAGGCTGTCACTATTTGGTGTCCCACTGAAAAAAGAAAAGAGAGGTTGGCGAAACGGTTTAGGTGATAAAGGACACCTGCTAACAAGATCTGACGGCCTGAGTTCCATCCCGGGGAACCATGCAATGGAAGGAGAGAATTGAGCCCTGTTTGTCCCCCTGACCGCCCCAAACAAAAAAATGTTAAAAAAAAAAAAAACAACCCAGTGCTGTGTGTGTTGTAGCACAGGGTTTCCGATCACACCCAACTAAGCTGCCTCCTGGATAAGCATGGTGGCTCCCACCTGCAATCCCTGCACTCAGGAGGCCAAGTCAGGGCATCACCATTAGCAAGCCTGAGGCCAGCCTGGATGACATTGACAGATCCTGGTCTTTAAAAACACAAAGCAGAAAAGGAGAGAGAGAGAGAGAGAGAGAGAGAGAGAGAGGGGGGGGGATATAAATAGTGACCTTTCACCTGGAGACAATGGGCCATTCAGAGACAAGTTATATAAAACAAGATTACTGAATTTGGTCAGGGAGGTTGGAGTGAGGGGTGGGGGCGTTTCCATGGTGACAGTGAAACCAGCTTCCTTGGTTTTATGACCCAGGCTGGCCAGACCAGCTAAGCAAACATTTACATTAGATTATGAGGGGGACACCCCCATATGTCAAGGGATGGGCTCTGTGCGCACACCTGGATATGTTCATAGCAATAAAAAAATTAATCCACAAACTAATAAAGATTAGGAGTGGTCAGGAAGAGCGAGTTCCTTGAGTCATCTTAAATGACACTCCGGCCACCAGGGCCTAAGGTGAAGTTTTTCGAAGAACAACACTCTGCTTTTATTTATTTTGGAAAGTTTTCTTGTTGGCGTGTCTGCCATTTCTGCCTTCCGATTTGGTGGTTTGGGGTGACTAATCCATCACAAAAGCCTGGAGGTTTTACCTATCCAGTGTCCCAGGGGAAGGAACAGGTTCTTGCCCAGGTGCGCCATGAGCCATGTGGGGAGGATCAATGGGGACACTGGGGTTTTGTTCTTTACCCTTCAGGCGTGATGCCTTTTTAGGTTCCTGCAACTTCTGATGGCTTAAAAGATGAGAAAAAAATGCAGAATAGTAATTGTTTGTGTTTAGGGTGTGGAGGGGATGAGGCCCAGTGCCCTGTGCACACCAGGCAAGTCCCATACCCCCATGCTCTGTACGGCCAGGCTGCACCCTTCTGTGGAGGGTGGCGGTCCAGCATCTTGACCCCCTGAGGGCTCTGCTTTCTTCAGCAGCTCCTCCAGGATCCTCCTCCTCTGCCTCTCCATGGCTTCAACATCAGGGCGCTGTTGAGGGTTGAGAGCTGCACCTCTGGTTCTGCTAGTGCAGGGGCCTGGCTGGGGGAGGTTCTAATCCCAGTTACAGTTACGGAGTGTGTCCTGGGACAGGCACCTTGGTACTTCTGGGAGCTTGTTAGAGACTGCATCAGGTGTCAATGGTGTCCTAGCGGCGCTGGTCTGCTATGCACTATCCTAACCCGGGGCCTTTATACCTGCTTGCTGCTTCCTTCCTGCCTGGCGATCTCTTCCTGCTATCCTCTTAACTGGCCCTTCTCAACTCCCTGCTTCCAATATCACATAGAAAATATCCTTGACTCCCTTCCCAGTTCCACACTCCTCCCTGTTCCCTCTCAGTCTCTCTCACAGCCAACACTTCCCATGGGGTATCAGCACAGCACAGATGCTAAGCTGTAATTGCATTGTTAACCCACACTTAAATTGCTCACAATCACTTTCTCTACCAGCCTGAAAACCCTGTGAGGGCCCAGGCCTGTGGCTCAATCAGTGCTTTGATGATGTAACAAATCGTCCAGCAATGCTTGGTCAATATTTGTGGCCGGACGGCTGCCAGCTGTCTAGGGTGTGAACAGAATCTTAGCGTGTGAAGGGTCTTATCCTGCCGAGAGGCACTGTGAGAAGCGGTTCAGGGTCTCCCCTCCGCTCCTGGAATCTGCAGCCATGGGCAATGGTGGAACCTGAATCTCAGTTTCCCTACTTATAAGGTGGAGCATGTGTGACCCCGAGGAACTAAGCAAGAACCAGCTGGGAGCTCCTGTTTCTTGTCCCAGCATCAAGAGATCCAGACTCCCACTCCTGAGAGTCTGAAACCCAAAACCCTGGGTTCAATTCCCAGCAAGGCTTAAACCAACTACGTGCAGGGTGATCAGAACTTCAAGGCCATCCTTGGCTACATAAGAGGTTTAAAGCCAGCCTGGGCTACATGAGATCCCGTCTTAGAGACGGAGAGATGGATTGTTCATCCAGGTCCTTGCAGATGTAATCAAGTCAAGGTGAAGTGCTGTACCTATCTTCCACAGAGCAGGGATGGAAGCCAGGGCTTTGCGCATGCCAGGTACCTGCTCTGTCACCACCCTACTCCCTGGCCCCAGTTAGAGTGGTCTGGATTGATCGCTTGATTGGATGGAGAAACCATCAAGAGATTGGTATGTCGTGCCTCTGGCCATGTGTGAAAGAGCCGCCCTGTGTGTGGGTGGTGCCATCCCAAAGGGAGCAAATGGGGAAGGGGAGAGGAAGAAATCAGGAGTACCACATGCCTCCCCACTTTCTGCTGCCATCCTGTCTTGCTCACCACAGGAGCCAGGTGACCTTGGGAGGAACCCTCTGAAACCTTAACCAAAATGTGTTGTTGCTCCGTAAGAAAGTAAGTTCCTTTCCTCAGGCATTTTGCCACAATATAACAAGGTCGCACCCTGCCCACGCTTGAGGCACAGTGGAGGCCCAGGCCCTCACCTCGATAGATCCAAATCCTCAGTGATGAGGGATGAAAAACAGACCCTATCTATGTTCTATAAAGTGCACCCCTCGCACATGCTACGGGAGACCCGCTCTGCTGGGGTCAAGAAGTGCCTCCCTCTCCCAGCCTGCCCTGCAGTCTGCACCCACTCTGCTGGGGGAGGGGCTTGGGAGCCTTAACAACGAACCTGACCCCGATAGTGAACATGCTGAGAAGGGGCTTGCCTTGCATCCAACCGACCAGCATCAGGAGACCTGTAAGAGATGAGGACTGCGTCAGTCTGGGCCACTGTGCACACCCCAGTGCCTCACCATGCTTTTAGCCCACTTCCTGAGGGGCCCTCTGGGACCTCGAAGGCTGGAAATAAGAGCCGCCTCAGAAGCTTGAGGTTTCTGGGCTGGAGAGGAAGGATGGCCTAGCACACACGAAGCCCTAGGTTCAATCTCCAGAATGGGGGGAAGGTGGGAGTGGTTCAAAGGGAATTAAACTGGATATGTAGGCATGGTGGCTCCTACTTATAATCCCAGCACTCAGGAGGCTGAGACAGGAGGATGGCTGGCAAGAGTTTGAGGTCAGTGTGGACCTTGTTTCAAATGAACCAAAGCAAAGAAATAAAAAGAACCCGCAATCACTCACCTTTTTTTGTTTGTTTGTTTTGTTTTGTTTAAAGAAAACACATTCTACTGGAGGGGAAAAAAATCCTGTTTTGTTCTTTCAGAAAGGATTCCTGTCTAGTTTAGGTTGAAGACACGGATCACCAGTTCACCCTGGACCATTCCTATCTGTACTCTGTGTTACTCCTGCCGGGGTGGATAAGCCTCTGTTGCTTCTGCTTCCTCTCTCTCTTTCTCTCGCTCTCTCTCTCTCTCTCTCTCTCTCTCTCTCTCTCTCTCTCTC